ACTCGATGTATCTATCCTATTTCTTCTCTTTCGTTTCTTTTTAACCCTTCTCTCTCTCTCTCTCTCTCTCTCTCTCTCTCTCTCTCTCTCTCTTCATTCAATATTTCCTTTTTCGTATCTTTCTTCTGTACACTCGATTTTCCCTCTAGAATAAGACAATTTCAACTTTTGTCATTCATAAACCAATAACTTCGTTTTCCTCTTCATTTTTAATCTACAAATTCACTCAAATTTTCCATTCACAACTCCCATTCATCCTGACGACTCATGCCTCATTCCTACATATTTTTAGTATCACTCAGTTCTCAATAACGTTAATATTCCGACGTTTCCTACCGCCTAACAAGATTTGCTGTTCATATGCTCTCTCGTAATGTGCATTGACAAATACGTTAATTTTCTCAAGGCTCGTTATCATATTTTTGCTCCTATTGGTCAATTAAGACAACATTCAGGTGCTTAGGTCTGAATGAGATTACGTCTTTATGAGGGAGTTTTGTTCTGTAATCTAATGTAATCTAATCGGGTTTATTCTTTTTATGGCGCAGAGTTGAGTCAATGATTCTTATCTAGTGAACAGAATCTAGAAAGAAGTCGAGGAAAAGATTATGTGAAGTAGGGACTTGATCCGTGTATCGAAATAGGGAAAGAAAGAATGAATGAATGAAAGAGTTGAAGATGAAAACAATAAAGAAGAAAAGAAAGAAAGGAACAAAGGAAGAAAGAAAGGAAGAAAGAAAGAAAGAAAGAAAAGCTAATGAAACAGAAAGGACAAGGACTGATGAACACAGAACACGCCCATTTTACATATTGCTTGTCGAGAAAATATTCAATTCATAAACAAAACTTAAACGCACTGAGCTAGATAGAAAAAATTAGATAAGATCTTTCTTTTGAAAATGTTGAAGGTTAACAATAGGAGAATTAATGACTCGGTTGATTTTAGTTAAGAGTATTTCTAATGCTATTCAAAGAGTTGATCGTTGTCTGCATTTTTTTCGTTCGCCCGGTAGTTTCCTTAGCTTCAAGATTCTTAATCCTTCCGAGAAATTCCAGAATTAACATATAGTTTTGAAGGGATTATTGGGCTAAAGGCACATGCATGAAATCTCTTAATAGTATTCTTCTTTTTTCTTTCTTTCTTCCTTTGGATGTTTTCTTTTCTTTTCTTTTTCTTTTTTCTTTTTTTTTTCTTTTTTCTTTTTTTCTTTTTTTCTTTTTTTCTTTTTTGGTTTTGTTGCTCTTTTGGCTTTTGGTTCTTTCCAGCAATTCGTCTTACTTCTCTTTCTTTCTTTCCCTCCTTTTTTCTTTCCTTCATTCTTTCACTCATTCTTTCAACAAATCAATCTTTTTTCTTTCAATTAGTTTTCTTTCTTTCTTTTTTTCCTTTTCTTCATTTCTTCATTCTTTCTTTTTTTTCTTTCTTTTTTCTGTCTGTAAGTCCATTTTTGTCTCCCATCTTTCCTTCTTTCTTTAATGACCTTCCTTCCTTCTTTCCCATTTCATTCATTCGTCTCCTTTCCTGCATTAACTAAACATGACAAAAACATTCCAAAATAGCTCTACGACTGACAAAATCGGCATTCTCTAAGGCATGCAAACATCACCAACTATTAAAGACACAAAATACAAAAATTCAATTACAACAAATTGCCGAAGGCAAACTAAAAACTACATAGATAAACACAGAGCAACACACCCTAAATCATATCTCGAGCAATTGCTATTCCTTATCTTTTTGATTAACTTTAAAATCGAAATGAAAAGAACGAAAATGACCGTGAGTTTTGTTCAAATACTAGAGGTCATTATGAGTGTTTTTTAGCTTGTTAAGACAATGACCTAGAATCAAGTACACCTTTCTTTGTTATCGCCAGAGGTATCAATTATTTGATTTAAAAAGTAATTTTTTTCCTATGATATCAAATTAAGTTAATAGTAAATTTAGGGTGCTATGCCCTCAATGTAGGATAACAAATTCGAAAACAAAGAAATTTAAGAAACGATGAAAGGCATTAAAGTAATTAGGATTCTAAGAATTACATAAATAATTGGAATCCTTTTTGCAGCGGGCAGAAAAAAATTGAAAATCTTTCAAAAAAAATTTTTTTTTTCAAGCTTAGTTTTTTCCCTTCGTTTTTTAGGTCTATAAGTAGTTTTGTATTCATACCCTGCTAACGGTTCGTCGGCCAATATTCCCGGCACCTGCGGTGAAACCTTCGCTCTGTGGCATAAAAGTGGCAGCCAGTACAACAATGAGTAGAATTACGACCTTGGAGTTCATGATGGTTTTTAAAGTGGTGTATTAGGACTTGGGATGAGTCTGCTGTACTTGGCTTGAAGCTTGGCGAATGTCTGTGATCTGCTGCAACGATGAAGGGTTTATATACCCAAAGCGGGGTTTGCTAATGAACTAACCATTTTCCTCACTTCCTTCTGTTGATAAAAAGATCGAATTAAGGCTAGATTCAAACCCGCCCACTTGTATCTGCGACCTTTCAAAGAATAATATGTTTGGCTCACTTCCTGTTCCGTCAGTTCCCCCTACTGTAAATTGACATTCAATGGTCTAAAATTAAAGCTTCTAAATACACTTCTACCGAGCTCTAAATCACCAATCCGCACTATTGTCCCAGTTGTTTTATGCATTACAGTATTGGTCAATGAATTGCTAACGAAGTATTACCTAAATCCTCTGAAGAACGGAACTGTTCACGCACAGACCTTTTGGTGATTATTGATTTTTCTGATTATCTCAGCTGCCATCTATTCAAGTTGGGCCAAGGAAATTGAAAGCGTCAACAGGAGTCCTCAGAGGCGCCATTGCAATCATGAACTGCAGAAATTTATTAAAATATATGTACCCCTGCAAATATAAAAGTCTCTGACCCATTTTACAGTTCGTTTTGACAAGCTACTTTGATTTAAACTAGGAATATATTTTCTTATGAACTAAGACTTCTGACTAACAAAGTCTATAGCAAGCTTTATATTTTTTAACTTAAAAAGAAAACCAAGTTGTAGTTATATTGTACCTGATTTTTGAAAGATTGTGAAAACGGTTAGTCACGAAATTAGAATTAAAATAAGTGAAAGAAAAAGATAATAGAGCATTAGAGTAAAATTAAGGTGAAAATCTTCAAAAATAATGATTCCTAGGACAAAAAATTAAGGAATTAGTATATTGCCCCTAAAGAGGAAGATTAAGTAAGTACTCAGCTTAGCTGCAATAACTTCAACTTGATGAAAAACGATAAAATATTAGATCTATATTAGAAGCTATTAGTTCCGATAAAACATCTGTCAATCTAATACCTCAAATGAATCTAAACAAATAGAAGTCTTTCCTTAGGGTGAGAAATTGAGAGATTTTACAAATTTTCTAAGTTAGGGATTTCTGCTTATCCTTTTAGCTAGAAAGGTAGCGTGCTGTTAGCAATCAGTACTAGAGAGTGACAAATCTCTGTAGGACACCATTCCACCCTCAATCAGGATTGTTTTAGCACACTCGTGCAATTTTAGTCCCAATTGCATCCTTCCTAGTCATCGATGAAAATGTTTGTCAATACTCACTCGTTTTTTAATTCTATTGGTTATCAATATCGCAGTAAGCTTATTATTTTACGTTTTTGTAAGAATAAGGTTTGCAAAAGGAAACATCTCTCTAAACTTTGTAACTATAATTTTCTTTCTTTAGTCATGGAATCACAAAATAAACATTTTTTTTTTTCTAGGGGATTTTTTGGTGGAAATCAAGTTGTTTTTCGTAGGCGGTTATCAAGTTTTTTTTTGTTTTTTGTTTTTCTTTTTTGTGAGTTTATACTTCTTGTCTTTTCTAACCAACCCACTAACGCAGTCAACTCATCGTTTCATGATGTTCAAAGATTAAATATTAGTCTTTATATTTTCATTCAATTATTTCTTAGGATCTTCTAGCTTCTAGAACCCGGAAAGCTGACAAGATTGATGTCAAGAACCCCTCCCACGAAAACCAGACATTGAAAATCACGAGAGACGAAAATCCGTGACTTGAATCTTTCCCCATCAACAGAATTTGTTAAAGCAATGAAACTTCAATCAAATCTTTGATCAGCGTATCACAACTGAATTGACAAATATAATAAAAATACCATTTCGATAAATTATGAACGACTAGATGGAGGTAATGTCCTTAATGAATAGAGTAAAATGCTTGGTATATTGGTCAGATGTTAAAGTTACTTTTGGCAAGCGGTTTTTGGAGATCAAATCTTTTGAAAAGTAAATAGACCAACTTAAAAATCCTTATTTTGAAGATAATGTAATCCTGAAATCGTTGATTATGGCAGAGAAATAACTTTAAATAGAGGATTTTTAGATTTTATTTTGTTGGCGTGGAGGGTGCGCTTGCCTATGTCAAACATTCTAATTCATCAAGCAACCCATCTGAAAACCAGTTATATTTCCACTCAATACACTCTTCCTGCTCTAGTTCACTATTACATTTATAATTTTTAGGTATGTAGCTTTTATTTTTTGATGATTTGATAATCCATGTGTGGATATTGTACAGCGAAGCAGCGAATATATCAAGAACATAAAAACTCACAGTCCAAAAATCTCATATTTTCCAAAAGAGTTCTGTATTTATATAATACCGAAAAGGAAACTCATTATCCCGTATTATGTTAACAAAATTCCTTGAACATCACCAATTAGGCTAAATTAAATTACACTTATCAACTGCCTACCTTTTACAAAATTAAAGGAGAAAGAGAATCGCAAGTTCTCGCATTAAATAATTCCAGTAATGTTCTCTCGAGAATGCGTGTCTAAGTTTGTATGAAGATCTATTTGTCCGGTTTCGGTCATAATTTGTTATGTCGTCGGATTCTGTAGTGAACGACAGCTATATAAATTTGCTAATGTAATTTCATGCTTTTTATTTTGGGGAGTTACGAGTTGATTGAAAGAAAGAAAATTAGGGCATTAGGAAGACAGGTTGTTGGAACAAAGACAATTAATTCCCATTTTGTTCGTGTAACTACTGTCATTATTGGGATTGTTCACGTCATTGGTATGAGCTTCAGGCATTTTTTGGAGTCTAGCGCTTGTTTTGAAAAAAGGGTTTTCTTGTATTTAAGATATCACTTCCTTCAAAAGAATTCAGACCGACCGGCTGCCGAACAAAAAGAATATTTTGATCAGTGTAGTTTTAACTGAGCTATTTCGTGTGCATTGGATTTCAATTAAGAACTGGGTGTTTTCTTGGCAATTTCGAGTTCTTTCAAATGAGAAGTTAATCCAAAATATATATTTTTTCAGGGTGGAATTTCTTTGTTTTATCAATTTTTGCTTTCTATTTTGCTTTTTTCTTTCTTTTCTTATTCTTTTCTTTATTCATTCGTGCTTTTCTTTCTCTCCCTCCCTCTCTCTCTCTTTCTCTTCCTTTCTTTCNCGTTTATTTATTTATTTCCTTATTCCTTATTTCAAAAATATAGCCTTGCGGCAATATTCCGTAAGTAACTAGAATAGATTTCAGAAAATCAGGCGAGAGAGGCCAGCTGAAGTTAATTCAAAATGTTTATTTAAGAGTGTTTTCACATCTCGCGTCAAAACATCACCAAATCCTATATCCATCTATTTCAATAACGTAACCAACTTCAACACAAAGCACCTATGACGTCATCATCAAGGATGTTAAGAAAAGTACAAGCCAATCGCAAAGCAGAAGTGCAATATAGTGAAATGCTTTAAACAGTCGGTAAAAGCCGGGAAATGCAGTCCTCGTATATTTCAAATTCTATTTTTGAGGGTGGACAACAATCGTAAAGTGCGGACTTGCCGTATTCTTGTTGTGGTACGTTTCTCTCTCTCTCTCTCTTTCTTTCTTTCTTTCTTTCTTTCTTTCTTTGTTCCTTTCTTTCTTTCCTCTTTCCTTTCTTTCTTCTTCCATTTGTTCTCTCTCACCAAAACTATTTCGCCCACCACCAATGGTCATCCCTCGTTTCTTAAGGGCAAACACCTTTCACATTCCAGGGTCTCTTTAACATAACATTTCCTATCCTAATTACTCCCGAACAGTTGGGGGTAGGAATGTCGGCTACATTTTAAGTAAATATTGGATTCCTTTATCCATCTTTTTCTGTTTTTGTTTGTTATATTCAAACATATCGCTTGCCTTTTAACGATGACAACTAAATAATTCAGTTTTGCACTTTTTATCCAAATTTTCATTTCATTTAAGTTTACTCTATTTCAATTATTTTGCTAGAAATCCTCGTCGTTTAGACTCACACAAAAGTTAAATGTAATTCTTACAAAAGACAAGTTTATTGTTGGTTAGGATCGATTGAATATCAAGGTACTTCACATATTACGTTTATTTATGAACAGCTGGGGTATGAGTGATGAATGGCAATATTAGATATGATGATTAGGACTGATTGCTTTGTATCAATGATAGTATAACGTATCTAGAGTTTACATTGGTCTCTTAATTTTTCTTTCTTTCTTTCTTTCGTTTTCTTTTTCTCTTTCCTTATATCTTTGTTCCCTTCGTGCGTTATTTCGTTTTCTCTTTCTTTTTTCTTTCTTTTTTCTTTCTTTCTTTTTTCTTTCTTTTTTTCAGTTATTTGAATCTTTTAATTCCTTCGATCTTTAGTTTCATTTTTCCTTTTCTATTCTTTTTCTCTTTCTTTTTTGTTTCTTTTCATTCCTTCGATCCTTCGTTTCTTTTTTCCTTTTTTCTTTCTGTCTTCCTCCTTTCCTTCTTTATTTTCATTTGCTCCTTTCCTTTTTCTTTCCTTTCTTTCCACCATTTCTTTCTACCATTACCTATTTCTTTCGTTCGTTCCTTCTTTCTCTCTCTCCTTCTTTTATTTCATTTTCCTTTTTATTTCTAACTCTATTGCCTTCTATTTCTTTCCTTGTCTCTCTCATTTATTCTTTCATTTATCTAATTACTCTAACTCTATTGCCTTCTATTTATTTCCTTTTCTCTCTCATTCATTTTTTTTTTTTTACTCTAACTCTACTATCTTCTATTTCTTTCTCTCTTTCTTTCTCGCCATTTTTGCAAGATCCGTCATTTCCTTATTTAATTCCTTCACATGTTCATCTTATCTTCGCCATCAAATGTTAAAAACACACAAACAATAGTCAAAGACCTTTTCTTGTTTCCCTTCTCGTGCTGTTATGTTATAACCTTGAATACTTAATGAGTTCCCAAATCACACAATTATTCCAAGACTATTTTGTTATTTCTACTAACTTACAACAACGAAAATTTGATATAACCAACAAAGTTGCTAACCATAAATTTAGGCAAAAATATTTTCTTCAGAATCAATTTTGTACCCTAATGTTATTAACGCGTGTCCTCAGTCACGAGTCATTCACTAGTTTAAATTATGACTAACATTCTTCAGTCGTATTCTAAAAAAAGGTCTTGGAATGGCGTGCACGAACGTCAGTGGCGCCAGAGATTTCCCCCTGGTTACCGTAACTCCGCGAACGGCTCAACACTATCTTCTGCCTGGAGGGCTTATTTCTTCGTTATTGTTCTGGTGTAATTATATCTCAAAGTTATCTCAAATTTTGGTTTTATAGCCTTTCTACTCCTGACTGATTCGTGGAGATTTAGTGGGCTTTGTGAGGAAAGGAAACACGACCAAGCGGCTAGTCGGTCACCGTCGTTCCAACACTTATCTTAAATCTTTTTGTGATATTGAAACTGCGAGTTCTAGAAGCGAATTAAGCCAATTTTCGTTTTAAAAAAGCTCTTATCCGTACATTCGATTGAGATTCTTCCTAAAGGACGTTCGATAACGAGAAAGAAAGAAAAATAGAACGAGAGAGAGAGAAAAGAAAAGGAGAAAGAGGTGAAGATGAAAAGAATGCACACATGAATGTACGAATGTATGAATCAATGAAATAAGGAATAAAAGAATAAAAAGAAATCAAGAAAGAAAGGAAAAAGAAAGAGTTAATCGAGACAACTAGCATTAATATCCCATGGGGGTGGGKGAGTGTGTATATTGTAGTCCCTACGGCAACCAACTCGGCAAAGTTCCTTCTATACTGCGACAATTTTAAGTGCTGAACTGTTTTGTCGTGTTATCATCTTGCTACTCAGGAAATGAAGATCCGTGAAAAGTTTCCTTTTGCCGCTGAAGGATTCCAATATCACTCATACTCGGGCATCTTATTTGTTTTATCGCTAGACCAAACGTCTACGCTTGAGCAGAAAATGATGCGAGAAATATCAACAGAGCGGCTCTCTAAAGCCCTTTCCTTCATCCACGCTACACAATCAAGATAAATATACCCTTAGGATACACGATATTTATACTACTTAATTTGCAAATAATAACTGTGCGATCGTGATTCTATTACRAGTGCCATAATTCGAGTTTCAAACGCGCGCCGCGATTCTCGATCGTAGACGACACTCTTTTTCGCTTCAACGCAGCAGTGCTTAGTATCACACATATAGCGTTGAATAGTCTTGTATCCATTATCTTTCGTCATTCAATACCTCGTAGATTTGTTCAGTTATATTTGTAGTGTTTTGCTTTCTTAACTGTCTGTCCTATAGAATGGTTTTCGAATGAGTGGGAAACATACCCGATACTTACTTCCAGCTCGTATGCGGTACGACATGCCGTAACATTGAAATGGCTTCCCATTGTTTTCCAGTAATTAATCCAATCACAACGCATAGTTACGGCTACGGTAAAGCACGGTACTCCGTAAACGTCACAACGCATTGTGATTGGATGAATTACATTGAAAGACAATGTAAAGCCATTTCAATGTTACGGCATGTTGTACCGTGTACGTGCTGTAAGTCAGTACCGAATGTTTCCCACTCGTACAAAAACTGGTCTATGTAAGTCTTAGGTTTTTGGTCAGGACCAGGGCGTGGGATAATGGTTGATTAGCAAAATCAATTTCTGTTATTTTTGTGTGTAATTAGCAAACAAAATTGACAAATATTTTTATAGGGTAGCTTATAACTGTTTCTGATATTATCACAGTTTAATAGCAATTAGTTTTTGTATTGGTTTTTTTTTTTTTTTTTTTTTTTTTTTTTTTTTAACAAATTTTATTTTTTTTTCATATTCGGGGGAAATGTGTTTTCGTTTTCTTAATAGTACTTTTTTGAATAAACGAATGAAGAATGAATGATATTTTCCTAGTCGCTTATTTCATATCATTATTTAGTAGCTATACCTGGTACATAGGAAGTCCGCTCTTTCTTTCGTTTGTTATCTTTTTCCCTTTTTTTTTTTCTTTCTTTTTTCATTTATTCATTCCATTCTCTTTCTTTCTTACTTACTTACTTTCTTTCTGGTGTGTGGTCGTTTCTGTGCGGTTCATCTACATTGATTCATTAGTAGACGGTTGTACTAGATAAGTAACATATTCATGTCTATACAGAATCGTAGTAAGCCTATATCCATATGCGATGGTCGATTCGGAAACATAGTCGGATAAGACAGTTGGTCGGTGAATACTAGATAAATAAAATAACTCTAGCTTTGTAGTGTTATCGTCTGTACGGAACATAGCTTTTTTTCATTATTGCATTGTTTGATTCCACGGTTTTCTTATTTCTGTTAAGTCTTCTTATCTCGTACAATCAAATAACGTTCGAGAAAAGGATGTTGTTAAGTAAATAAAATATATGAATTTTCCGCGACCCAAAGATAGGGGAAAATACATTCAAGATTATTCTTTAAATGAATTGAGGGACGTATATTCGTAATAATTTCTCGWTTTTTATTTCGGTATTTTGCGCTGTTTTTTCTTTTTTTCCTTTCCTTTTTTACCCTTCATTGTGGTGACATTCATTATTTACGACAAATATCTCGGTATATTATTATTATTATTTTATTATTATTATTAAATTTTTTACTATCATCATCATCATCATTATTATTATCATTATTATTATTATTATTTTTTTAATCATTATTATTATATCTAAAAATACTTGCATAAAACAGTGCAGTGCCCAGGCAATGCACCAATTACCGATATGAGTAATTTGTAGCAACATTTTAGCTCTTCTGGTGTGAAGTGGAACATTTGGAAAGAATTCCATCGCGATATGTGTTGACTTAAAAGGGTCAACTTAAATTAGAGGATATCTTAGAGAGAACAGAACAGAAACGAAGAAGAAGAGAGGAGTGATGAAGAAACGCTAAGACTAGTTCAACTTTTTTTGTTTCAATAATCGACCAAACAAACAAAAGTATTCAAATAACTTTCATAACTTCAAAATCAACAATCGTTCATATTTACACAAAGCTAATGACCCACACATAAAGCCACGTAAGGTGACCGCTTGTTTTGCATGAACATTACAAGCAATTAGTCCAAGGAGGATATCTGCTTTAGATCTCTGGTAATCAACAAGCATCTCACACTATTTTCTTCCTGTTCTAGTATAAAAAGCTGCACTAATTCAGCAACGTTAATCAACTGTTTCTTCTTATTTGAAAAACAAAAAGAATGAGTAAACACAGGTTAAAGAGTGTGGGAAGGATTCTTGAAATTCTACTTTCAAAGGTAATTTCAAAAAATGCAATAAATGACAAAATGTTTTCCAAAATTGTTCATCGAATCGTTAACCAACAAGACCAAAATTTCTAAAGATTTTCAAAGATTTTCGATTAAAAAGAAAAAATGCGAAAATATACTAAAATTTCAGTCAAATATCGTCTCTATTTCGCGACAAAAATGAATAAATACCAGTTTTTAAATTTTTCATTCACAGCAATTTTAAGAAAAGTTAATATACTTGAAAACAATTAGCGATAATTGAATCTTCATCAATAGAACTTAAAACAAAAGCAAGCCTTCCTCGATTACATTTTGTTAAAAAATACTTACACTTCAACGACAAATTGGGCTTTAATCTTTATTACCAAAATATTGGACACTTCACAAAATTAAGCATTTCCCCTCGTTTGAAGCGTTTTCTAACAAGCTTATCTCTAAAGAAAATTACTTCATTTAATGAAAAAGGGATAAGAATACTTTGTTATCTGCAGAAAACGAACCTCAAGCTGATTAGAACAGTAATTTGTAAATGCCAAGTCACTATTAATACATCTTAAAGGATGTGCACTCTGGACCTTCTTCTGTGCTTTTCTTTCGACATTTTCTTTACTATATTGGTTGAAACCTAGGATGAATAGAGAGATGTTTTTCATTTGTTTTAGTTTGTTTAGCGGTCAAGGTCGTCCTTATCTACCCATATCAAGATATCATTCAAGTTATAATTTTCGTCACGGCGTGAGAATCGCTTTTTTTTTTTTTGTAATTCGTACATCGATAAAAACTGCTGCGACAAACCGAAGATTTTAGTTCCATCTCGACTTTTACTTTTCATAAAGAAATCTATATTTTATTGTTCAAACCAAATAGTTCATAGATTTGTCGGTCTGGGACATAAGTCTGCCTTTTAAAGCACTTCATATCAACTTTGATTATATCAGAGGTCGTTTCAGGGTTTGAATAAAATTTGAAGTTCGAGAAAATTGTAGGTCGAATGATAAACCGTCAGATGTTAGAATTTTTCCTGTGTCAATCTTTTATTTACCATAAAAATATGGGATCAAAATATGTGTTGAATGTTAATATGGGAAAGAATTTCATAGCTTTGTAATGATCGTCAATCTGTAGTAAAAAGTGCACAGACTGCTCCACTAGCAAGTCATGTTTACCTCGCACAGAAAAAATATACCATTAAAATCAAATTAAACTAGTCTTAGATATGTAAAACCGATCCATTGGTAACAAGGGCGCAGTAAGATAGAACGTTCTTTGGCCATTAATCATTCAAAATATTTACGTTTTTTATTTCGTCATGGACAAAAAAAGTTAAGGATTAAGTAAGGAATTATGTTGTAGATCACTTGCAAAAACCCAAGAAAGTTGTGGTTTGAATACACTTTCGTTTCCACAAACTTTAAGGACACCTTGTCTGTGAACTACCTACAATCATTGCCATAATTAGTTGGCACGCTTGATAGATTTCAGTATTTTAGAGGGTGCTTCGCAAAACACTACCTAGGACTAAACACCCCTCCCCCCCGTACAATGTTGAGATTCCTGCAAGTTGGCAGAAGGTTGGTGAGTCTGATCAGGAAACTAACGTTCTTTCAGGGAACGGCAACATTGTACAAGGGAGAGGGGGAGRGCGCGACAGAGGAAAGCCATTTTCTGTGTTAGCCAAAATGTGCCATCGCGCCAAGTATTTTGGCAATGATTGTAGTTATTATGTACAGTATACAGCATTGTTACCTGGAAGTATAATTGTTTTAAAATTTTTTGTTTCTTCCTTTGCAGAACTGATCGCTTGGAAAATGGATTTTCAAAATTATTGACTGATTATGGTAAGTGAGATTCCTAAAAGTAACTTGCAAATGATGACGCATGCCATCAGAGTGATCAGAACGGTGATATATAGTAATATATAGTAATATAGACTGTGTATCAAATCAGCGCGCAATTCCTGCGCAATCCAAGTTTCCTTACCTGTTATGCATTGTGCAATGTTACTGGAAAGGTTTCTACGTGTGACATCCCTCTACAAACCTTGTTACCTACCTGTGATGTGATGCGCAATGTTACAGGAAAGGTTGCTACATGTGACATCCCTCTACAAATCCTGTTATCTATCTGTATGTGGTGCGCAATGCAAAGGGAGAGGTTGCTTTCAGTTTCGAAGTCTTTTGGTCATTTGTGTTGTTCTGTTTAACACTCCTTTTGATCTGTAAGTAATTTCATTGTTCTGTTATTTTTTCTGCAGGAGAGAAAATAATCAAAGAAAAGAAGAAAAAAAAGAAATATAGGGATAGGAGGAAGGAGAAAGAACAAGCGACGAAAAATTATTTACAAAATTAATTTCTAAAATAAATATAAAAGTGTTTAGAGAATATAGGTAAACAGAAAATAAGAAGAACTTTAAAAAGAGAAGGAAAAAAAACCGAAAGAAGGGCGAAGAATAGTTAGTATTTGTAAGGAATAAAGAGAAAAAGGAATGAAAAGAAAGAAAACATTGAAGATAATGTTAAAGGATAAAAGGTAAAAGCAGAGAATGATAAGGAAAGAAAATATTGAGGAAAAGAGATGTGCACTAAAAAAAATAAATAATGAGTGTATAAATTTGGGGAAAAAACAGTTAAGTGATTATCGTAAACCCGTGAAACATGCAGATATCAAACGTTAATGAAATAACAACAAAAGAAAACAATGGAATTAAAGTGTACTCATTTGTATTAGGCTAGTGTGTATTTCATGGGTTTATGAAAACCACCCTAAAATGAATGAATATGAGTTTGATTAAATACTTTTAAAAATAAAACAAGATTGTCACGGTCATTTTGTGCGCCCTACCCGCAGCCCCCC